AAATAAGATAATCATTATCAGAACAAGGACTGCATGGCTCACACAATGAAAGTTCCAACATATAGGGCAGCTTTGGCACCTAAGGATTCAGCTTTGAAGAGTATCAGGAGACAGTGTCTTCATCAGTGACCATAGCATGTCACATAGGCTCTTTAGAACAATGCCTGGCATATAGTATGCACTCCAAATTTTTGTTGCTTCTTATCATCATAAATATGGTAAAGAATTTTGAAAAACTAGGAAACTTTGATAAATTGGTGAGACAATGGTTATAATTATTCTCTTTCCCCTACAAAGTTCCAAATAGGTCATTTATTTAATACATCCCTTTTAACTCAAAAACAACTTAAATATATTTTTGTACTGTTTGAATTTTTAAAAACCGCCTGCATATATATTTTTTCTATTTAAAGACTAATAGAGAATTCCCTGGCAGTCCAGTGGTTAGGACGCCGAGCTTTCACTGCTGAGGGCCTGGGTTCGATCCCTGGTCAGGGAACTAAGATCCCACAAGCCGTGCAGTGCATCCAAGATGAAAAAATGTAAAAAAAAAAGAGACTAATAAAACTTTTTCAACAACTGAATACATAGAGATGCAGAATATATTTAAATGTACTACACACATTTTATAGCTTAAACAATACTAGAATGATTAAAGCAGAAATGGCATTAACCTTTTATCCATATATGCTGAACACCTAAAACATTTTGAGACATTCACACTTTTTGGTCTTAGAACTCCTTACAGTCTTTGGGACTTCCCTGGTGGTACAGTGGTTAAGACTCCGTGCTCCCAATGCAGGGGGCTCGAGTTCAATCTCTGGTAAGGGAACTAAAGAACCTGCACGCCGCAACTAAAGATCCTGCATGCTGCAATGAAGATCCCTGCAACAAAGATCCCGTGTGCGGCAACTAAGACCTGGCACAGCCAAAAAAAAAAAAAAAGATTTTTAACAGTCTTAAAAATCAGGACCTCAAAGGGTTTTTGTTGTTTTTTGCTTTTTAAAAAAATCTAGGTTATGGGTATCAATGTTTACTACATTAAAATTTAAAACTGAGAAATTTTTTAAATACTGTTTTAAAGTGACAAACCCATTACATGTTAGCATAAGTATTTTATGAAAAATAACTACATTTTCCAAAATATATTTAGTGAGAAGAGTGGCAGTGTTTTGTTTTTGCAAATCTCTTTAATGTTTGGCTTAATAGAAAACAGCTGGATTCTCTTCTGTGTTTCTGCTTCAATCTGTTGTAATGTTCAGTTGAAGCATATGAAGAAAATATGGCTTCACACAGATATGCAGTTGAAAAAGGAAGAAATAATTTAATAGGTTTTTCAGATGATTGTAGATAGTCTTCCTTGATACTATACTCAAACTTGGTAAGTGGTAGTTTCTTACGTTAGTTGTAATGTAGAATCTGAAACCACACCAAGGAACTTCCATTTTCTGTTACACTAAGTTTCACTGCCCTGTCTCACACTTTGAATGGATTCCTTACCCAAGCAAGACCTTACAATATTGCGCATGAGTCATTTGGAAAATATTGATTCCTTGAGTTATGCAGACCTTCCAAGTGTTGACACATTTCACTATATACCATAAAAAAATAGTATTCATTGATATCACCACTGATACAAAAGTCTTTAAGTATTGGGAATTGTCAAGCTCACAATGATGGGTTCAAGTTTAGTCAAATTCTAATTTTTCATGTAAAAACTCAGGTTTCATCATTGGCAGCAGATACTGTCACTTGTTTTCCTTCAAGTGACAAGCTTGCTTTGTTCATTTTTGAGAAAATATCTGCCAAATACTCAAGACTAAGTAACTGGTCTGTCAGTTGTTCTTTCAAGTATAAATATTTTTTCCATGAAAAAAAATGGCTAGTTCAGTTTGCAACAAGGACTTTTCTTTAGTACAACCATTGAACTTCAGTATACAGCAGAATTGTACTATGCTTAACTCACATTCTGTCACATGAAATATTAAAAAGATGTGTACTCCAGGTCAAGATTTACTAAAATTAATAATATTTGCTGAATCATTGATGATATTCCTATGTCTTTTTTGTTTCTAGTGTGTGGGGCAGTGAAGAATATGACTGATAGTTGATGCCATTGAATTTGATTCATACTAAGGCATCCACAATTTAACCTAACATTCTTTTTTCCATCATCACTGCAAATGTCAACACAGTGAAACAGGCAATTTCACAAGTGGCTTTGACCTCATCCATCTTCTGAAAGCATCTCAGGGGAACTGAGGGGTTTGTGGGCCACACTATAAGAACAATTGGCCTAAGAGAATTATTGAGGTTTTGTGTCATCCATCCATCCATCATTTGTTAAAGGCCTATTCTGACCAGGTATCATATAAAAAAGTAATTTTTTCCCCCCAAAACAGCACAGTTGAGGGCAAAATACAAACGCGTAAAATAATTATAATCTAGCGGAGGATGTATATCAGGAGAAAGCCCTGAGGAAGTCTTGAAAGACTCATTATAGGAAACTTGACTTAGGGGCAGAGCTCAACAGGCTCTGTGAAGAGGTCATGCCCTTCAACTTTAATTCAGAATTTTTTGATTAGCTCTTGAATTCACAAAGTGGCAACAGACTCTCACGGCAAATATTTCAATTGAATTTTCTGAATTCTTAACTACATTATGTGACCCCAAGAAAGGGATAAAGAAGAAAGGGACAATGACCAGCCTTCATGAAGATTCTTTAGCAACAACCAAACCTGGAACAACTCAGCTGGTCCCTTTCACAAGCAGAAGCATAGAAACAAAAGAGCCTCCCTAGAGGACAGGAGGTTGGGTGAGCCCCTTTCAAGGCCTGCCTGTTTTCTGTCTACTCTGATCGTTAGACTGGGGGGGGGG